ATATTTTAATATTTAATATTTTATACTGTTATTTCAGTTCTGTTATTCCACTGCAGACTCTGCCTGAGCACTTTTTACTGGCCAAAAATTCCAATTTTTTTCCACTTTAATTGGTATTTTTAATTCTTTTACCCTGCATTTCATTTCTTTAATTTCATTTATTTTTATTATTAATTCAGTTTTATTATTCCACTTCACACTCTGTCTGAGCACTTTCTACTGATCCAAAATTCCATTTTTTCTGGTGTTTTTTTCCACTTTAATGAATATTTTTAATTCTTTTACCCTGCATTTCAGTCCTATCATTTCATTTTAACCTTGTTTTGTTCTTTTACCACCAGAGGGCTCAGAAAATCCCTTTTAATTCTCATTTTCTACAATTTTACCATTTCCCCACCGGGTGTCGCTGTCCACTGCTGCCATTCCCCATTCAGCAACTCAAAAAAAAAAATAAAAATAAAAGAACATTTCCACCTTTTATTTATAAATCTAATATTTAATCCGTAAATAAAATCATATTTATGCCTGAAATTCACTTTGGAATGTCCTAAAATGCAAAGTTTGGCTTTGTAAAACAAACCCCCCCAAAATAAAAAAAAAAAATAAAAAAATCATAAAATGACACAAAAATTTAAATTCTTTCATTTCAGTTTATTCTTCTTTTTGATTTTTTTCTGGGCTGTTGCTTTTTGGAGTTTTAATTTGGGTTTAATTATGTGTTAATTGGCATTTTTTTCTTCCTCAGGTACCTCCCTGTCAAATCCAATCACTGAGGGGGGGGGAGAAATTTAAGGTTAAAAACCAACAAATTCACGTGGAAAATTTGATTTATTTGGTAGAAAAAAAAAAATCCTCATTTTAGGGGTTAAAAAATGAATTTATCCAGCTAAATGGAATTATTTGCATTAATCCAGCTCGAGTGTTTAATGAGCTCTGAGGGGGGGTCAGGAATTTTGTGATTAAAATGAAGATAATTGGGATTTAATTTAGAGTTTGGATATAATTAATCATCAGAGTAAATGGGGTAAATTTCCATCATTTTGAATTAAAACAGAATTTATTGTAAAGGATAAATTTTACTCATTTTGAATTAATACAGAATTTGTTTTAAAGGATAAAATTCCCAAATTTTGAATTAATACAGAATTTATTGTAAAAGGTAAATTTTACTCGTTTTGAATTAATACAGAATTTGTTTTAAAGGATAAAATTCTCAAATTTTGAATTAAAACAGAATTTATTGTAAAGGATAAAATTCCCTCATTTTGAATTAAAACAGAATTTGTTTTAAAGGATAAAATTCCCAAATTTTGAATTAATACAGAATTTATTGTAAAGGGTAAATTTTACTCATTTTGAATTAAAACAGATTTTGCTGTAAAGAATAAAATTCTCTCATTTTGAGCTAATCCAGATTTTAAATTAAATTTAAGTTAAATTTCCCTTCTTTTGAACCTTTAAGGGATTGAAGCTGAATAAATCATAATTTTCCAAACCTGAAACCTTGAGCTGCTTAGGGCTTTAATTGCAGAGCAAATCTCATTTTTACAACTGAAATAAATAAAAAATTCTATTTATAAACTCAAAAAAAAAATTTCTTTTTGTGTTACAACATCATTTGATTTTTTTTTTTACCCCAATTTTTAAATTTTTTAATTTTTTTTTCTCTCTTTTCAGTTCATCAATGGTGCCAAGGAAATCTGCTATGCAATTTCTGCTGAGGGTTACTGGGCTGATTTCATTGATCCATCCTCAGGACTGGCTGTAAGTTCTTGGAATTTGCTTCAAATCCAAATTTTTTTTTTATTTTTTCAGGAGAAATCCCTTGAAGAAATTAAATTATAAACGATAAGTTGTTAGGAAATGAAATAGGATTTTTAATTTTTTTTTTTTTTTTTTACGAGCTGGAGAAATTTTGTGCCCCCAAATCTTTTGCTGATTTTTTTTTTTTTTTTTATTCTGGTCTCCCAAAGTGACTTGGGAACCCTGACACCTGTGCCAGGTAAAAAAGAAAAAAAAACTCTTTTACCTGTAAAAAAAACCTCTTTGCACCCATTAAAAAAAACCTCTTTGCACCCATTAAAAAATCCTCTTTGCACCCATTAAAAAACCTCTTTGCACCCATTTAAAATCCTGTTTGTACCTGGAAAAAAAACTTCTTTATACCCCTTAAAAAACCTCTTTTCACCCATTAAAAAAACCTTTTTGCACCCATTTAAAAAATCTCTTTGCACCTATTTATGATCCCTTTGTCCTCCCCCCCACAAAAAAAAAAAGAATTTTTTGGTCCTGTGGAACAGTGGGAGATGAGTTTTAGTCTGAGCTCTGCTAAAACCGTGGCAAAGCTGAGCTTAGTGAGGTTTGATTTAAAATCAATGTACAAAAAATTAGAATTTTTTTTTTTTATGTCAGCACAGGCAAACTGGGGATGTTTGTAAGGAAGGAGAT